CACACACACACACACACACTCACACACACACACACACACATACACACACACTCACACACACACTGGCAATGCACATCCTTCGTTCCCATTTTTATTTTCCATGTGTCCATTGGTCGAAATCACGTTAGATCCAAATTAGTAGTATAAAACTAAAACAGGTGTTCTCATAATATTCAAAATTTACACAGAAGTATCAGAGAGAGACGGAGAGAGAATACACTTGTTTGGGCAAAGAGAAGTTCACGAACATACTTGTAGAAATAGATTCCAATTCGTCCAGTGGCAATGATGTTACATGTATTGACTTTGGCGTCTTTTCTCGGGATTCTCTTGGCTTCGTCTCGCTTTGGTGTAGCTACGGCAATGATGCCCATGCCGTGAAAGATATTGTGACCACGTATTGTTGCTGTGCTGGGGTGAGCATTGTCTGCCACAAACTGGACATTGTCACCCTCTGAGAGTGGCGGGAGGTCAATGCCTTGTTCCACAGCTGCGTTCATCTCAAACTTATGCACCTCCCTGTATGACGAGCAGAAGCCAAGGTGATTGAGGCTATCCACCAAAAACCCGTGATGCAAACATTTTAAGCATTTGGACAGCTAATCCGATCTGAAATGGGGCAAGAACTGTATTAGGTCGGGTTATCTGCATTATGGCTTGTCCTATTGCAGCAGTTTTTGTTGGAAAGTCTTTCCCCTTGAAAATATTCGAAATCAGGACATGGAGTCATGGAGGGATTCTTGGAGGAAGGACAGCTGGTCTTCTGCACCAATGTCTGGGTAGGTGTCCTTTGAACATACCTTTGTCTTGATGTCACCATAGATGAGGCTTGCGGTTGTCTTTATGATGTGAATTTTCTGCTGCTGAGGATCATCGTCCTTGGGCTGCTTGTAAAATTCCGCAAGGGTGTAACCTGCTGCAAAAAACATGTGCTCTGGGCCTGGGTGACCCCGGGATGAATGCTGTTTGGAAGCTTTCCTAGCAGTTGTTGATTATCTGGAGAATGAAGATATAGAGCAGGTGACTGTCCCAGATCTTGTTAACCTCAATAACAGCAAGATTGCTCCCCACACCATCACACTGCCACCACCATGCGATAAGGCCTGGGAGATGCATCCTGTTGCGAACCTCTCTTTTCGATATCGGTAAACTCGACGTCGTCTGTCGTGTCGAGAGATGAGAAAATTGGATTCATCACTGAACCATACGTGCTGTCAGTTCTGTAACTTCCAGTTGAC